AGAGAGCGTTCCATGTGCGTCGATTAATCCGCTTCCTCCGACCAATTCCGTCGCGGATCCTGAACCCTTTCTATCAGCGGCTTCTAAAGAGACATGCCATTTTTGCGGCTATTCGAAGCACCCTCGTACCAAGTGCCCCGCTAGGGAGGCCGTCTGTAAAAGCTGTGGAAAAACAGGACACTTCAAGCAAATCTAAACCAACGCATCCATCGATCACATCTGCCTTTAGCCCCTTATTGTTCTCCACATTCACTGCCGCCGCTGCCACTTGTTTGTCCCGCGCCACTACCACCGTTTTTGCTAATGGTGTTAAAGTTCAGGCACTAATAGACACTAGTAGCTCCGGCAGTTACGTAACCCATTCTATTGTAAATACCTAGGGTTGGAAAGTCTATCGTTGTGACTCTAAAATTACCATGGCCCCCACCTCCATCTCTTGCACCATCACTAGTTATTGTAACGTCACCATTCAATACCATGACGCTTCCTACGAAAACATACGGCTTGCCGTAATGCGCGATCTGTGTGTTGATGTACCACTAAAGTATAATAATATAATAAAAAGCCAGACAAGCCTGTTGACCCACTCGTATCACAGTCCTCATGTTAAGCGCCCCCAGATTCAGTTTGACGAGGTTTCTGAATTTGCGACCTATTTTGTGGTAATCTACTTACTTGGCGACGAACTTTGGCAAGTGACGACCAAGTTGTCCGAGGGATTGTTACGAATAGGAAGAAGGGACAAAGGGAGGGTTGGGTACGGAAGATAAAGAGTTAAACACGGTTTGGAATGTCTGGGCAGTAGCCCACTTATCCTTACCTACTACGCTCGGTTCAATGCGTAGCGCGGTTCTGATTATCCTGCGCGACGACCAACACAGCATGGAATTAATTTTTGTTTGTGTATGCATTACAGTTTGATGGACGGTTACTGCTAAGATGTCTAGTTATTAAGCAGGAGAACGATTAGGGTCTTCGCCCAAAGCCTTCAGTTCGAATAAGAACCTGACAGCAAGGTAGCGGGGAAAGCGAATTAGAGGTCTAATTGCTCGGACAGAATGCCCCTCTACAATTTTACCGGCTGATATGCCAACTGGAGTCAATCCCCAACCTGGAGGACCAGAAGACTGAACGTTTTCTGACTTATCTGGTCTTATATGGTTCGCCACTCCAATTCCCGGGCTTTAGATTACTGGTTTCCACAACTGAACAGCAGGTCTTCGTGACTATGGGGCTCATCCCGTCTGCTGTTCGTCAAACTTCGGCACAATAAAAAATAATATCTCCTGGCTCATTAAAAGACATCCTGTGTAGCTTGTTCGGTCATAGTGCATTTTGTACAACCATTAACCATGCACTATCGTGCGCTGGTTTTGGTCGCTATCTTTCGGTTGCCCATTTGGATGAACATTACGAGAAAGACGGGAAAGGTTGAAAGTTGGATCGAAGAGAAAATTGAAAAGTTCAGTGGACTAATGATACAGAGAAATTGGGAAGATGCACGAACACCACTGTTTACGACACCCAGTTATATCACTCAGTGTCTCTGACCATCGGGTACGACCATCCCGAGGTCCCCATCCAGAGAGCTTAACGGGACCTATGTGACCTAGTGTCCTGGTTAGGGTTTTCATACCCTCGTGCAGGTCTTAGGTTGACCCATTTGGAGTTGTTTTGTAGCTTTCGAGAAACAACATCTCAGGACAGGACAAGACAAGACGGTTTACAAAACTTGTGGCTCGACTCAGTATGGTAGTCCGAATTCTTGCATCTACGGTCCACCAGTGTCCTATCATCATCATCATCATCATCATCGTACAGCGAAATACAGAAAAGCAAACTTCACTGATCGCTGCCAAACTCGCAATGCATGCGCACTGGGATTTGATGGACAGGTACTGCTAGGGTGTTCAGCCACTAAGCAGGAGAACGATTAGGGTTCTCAACCAAAGCCTTTAGTTCTGAAAAGAACCTAACCGCAAGGCAGTGCGTGAAGCGAAGTGGATGCTCATTTACTTGGATTGATTACTCCTCCACTATTTTCTACCGACTGAAACACAAATTCTAGTCGAACCGCCAACCTGAAGGACCAGGAGACTGGAATTCATCTGACCCTTACCCTTCGACCTTCCAGGCACGATTAGATCTTCGGCTTGAAAAAGGCCATCCTGTGTAGCTCGTTGGGTCAGAGAGGTGCATAATCCATCACACCACGTCAAGGTGCAGTCTCGCCGTATCCTATAGCAATTCGGCAGTTTATTTTCTGGTTCTGTGATGTAGAGATACAGCTGCTGAGCATGGACGCGAATCCAGTTTGCTGTCGAGGATCAGTCACAGGTTAAAACCAGGTGTGAGTACCGCAATGACTGTTTGGTCATCGGCGTGTCATGTCAAGTTATTGTTCGACTGAACGTCAACTCGCATTGATTTCACACTTCCCCATTGGTCGTTTGAAGCACCATGCGACGCAGCAGTATTTTACGCTCAAACAGTGTTTTATTATGGTTCCTTATTTTGCCTTCAGTTGCGTTTACCTGGGCTGTTGAAATTGCTTCGACGCTTCGAGCAAACTTTGAACTGCATGGGTTCAGTTCAGTTGTTACAACCATTAACCATGCACTTTCGTGCGCCAGTTTTCGTTGCTGTCTTTTGGTTGCCCATTTGGATAAAAGAGTGAAATGAACATTGAAATGTCCGAGCAAATTGAAGCAGAACATAGGGAATTCATATAGAATGGTTCTAGGAAATAACGAGTGGAATGCACGAGCGCCACTGTTTGCGACACCCAGCCATATCACTCAGTGTCTCTAACCATCGGCTGCACGAGCGCCACTGTTTGCGACAGCCAGCCATATCACTCAGTGTAGCTGACCATCGGTTACGATCATCCCGAGGTCCCCAGCCAGGGAGCCTAACGGGACCTGTGACCTACTCTCCTGGTTAGGGTCTTCATACCCTCATGCCAGGTCTTAGCTTGAGCGCCCTTCGTTTTTTTTCAATCGCCACCAGCCTTGGCAAACATCGTTCGCAGTGGAAACCTATCTGGTGACATGCGTAGCACATGTCCCAACCAGCGAAATCTATGGAGGTCGATCACTTGCTCCAGTGGACGACCGCGACTGCCTAAAACTCTATGCCTAACCTCAGCATTGCTAGTCCGGCTGCCCCACCAGACTCGTGCAATGCTACGTAGACAGCGACGTTTGAACACCGACTATCTACTTTTATCCTGTTCCCTTAGTGGCCAAGTCTCTGCACCGTAGAGCAGGACGGTCGAATTGCTGCAGCATACACTCGACCCTTCACAGACAGCCGGATGTCGCGACGGCGCCACAAATGTCTCAAGTTGGCAAATGACAATTGAGCTTTTTGTATCCGCGCTGACACTTCATCTGTGATGCGTCCGCCAGGTGAGATATAGCTGCCTAGATAGCAAAATTTGTTTACTTCCTCTACTACTTCCCTAGTTAGGGTGAGACTGGGTGCTGGACCAACCCAGTCTTGTAGCAACATTTTACACTTTGAAGGTGCAAAACGCATACCGAATATGGTTACACTGGCATTCAAGTTATCCAGAAAAGCTTGTAACTTACCTGGATCATCACTTAGTAGCACAATGTAGTCTGCGTACTGTAGATCAGACAGTCTACCACCCGGAAGTAAATCGATACCGCTATCCCTGCACGAGGATAGGGCTGTTTCAAGAATTAAATCTATGACAAAGTTAAATAGAAAAGGAGAAAGAGGGCAACACTGTCGAACACCACTTTCCGTGGTGAACTCGGGTGAAAAAGCGCCGTAAGCTCGAACTTGGCTTCCACTATTATTGTAGAGGGATTGTAATATTGAAAACTGCATGGGGAGTGTGCATGGCCAATTAAGTCGTTTGATTCAATCCATTCAGGTGTGTGGATACAGAGCTATGTCTTCTTAAACAGTACTCCACCAGCAAAGATAGTGGAGAACCGGTGGACATGAAAGGGTCAAGGTACCAGTAAGGATAAGAGTCCAGATTAGGCTGATTCAGAGAAAAGAGGAAACCAGGGAGGAAGTTGAAGAAAAGGACAAGCAAAATATATGAAAAATAAATAAATGATAAATGATTAGTAAAAGTAAGTATCGAAGGGGCGGGAGGGGCTGAGCACAGGAAGAAATGGATACGTTAACACCAAGGCCTGACTTGCCTTGTGACTGGGCGAAGTCGTGGAAAACTACATCCCGCACCTCGCGAGGGCAATTTAGTGGATGGAACAGCTCACTATANAGGTACTCGGTGGACTGAAAACTCGAACGTTGGTTTCAACTGAAGAAAACATCCTCTGTGTGCTATCGGATTACTTTCAAAAACCAGTTTCATGAACACACTTGAGAAATCGTAGCCCGTGGACGAAATTCGCTGCAAACGGATGACAACATCTGTTGATGATGGTATGATGGTCGGATTTTATATAATTTTATCACTCATTTACGGATACTTTACGTAGTAGAGTTCTCTGCGGAGGACGCTGTTTACAGTCCGTGGATAGTAGGAAGTGGTCGTGCCAAGTGGCGAAGGTTTCGATTCAGTTCAGTCTGTACAACCATTTACCATGCACTCTCGTGCTCCGGCTGCGGTGCCCATTTAGATGAATAGTAGAAGAAAGACAGAAAAGTTAACGGTAGAGTCAAAGAAAAAAGGAAAATTTCAGTGTGATAAAGCTGCAAAGAAATTGAGGAGAAACATGAAGGCCNAGAAATTGAGGAGAAACATGAAGGCCATTGTTTAAGACACAGCCACTTTACAAGCATTGATGATGTCAACTCAGCTGGTGACGAAACGTTTCCAAACAAAGTGCCAAGCTTGGCTAACAGCGAAAATGAAATTCAGGTCACCCGAGCTACGAGAACCGATTTTCGATAATTTGTCAGCAGCTACATCACTCAGTGTCTCCAGTCACCAGATACCATCATGGCGAGACTGCACCTTGACGTGGTGTGATGGCTTGCGCGTCTCAACCACCATGCGACCTATACAAGATGGCTCCTCAGCCGCAGATCCAATCATGCCTAAAAGGTCAACCGGTAGAGGCCAGACAAAGCTCAGTCTCACAAGGCCAGCTGCTTGGGCACCTCCTGGCTTCCTTCGTCTATCCACACCCGACCCTGAAGAGGTCACTCCAGCAAATAAACACGATGAGGGACAGTTTACCGGTCGAAAAACATCCGCCTGATGGACGTAAGAGCGGGGTACCTGGGGCTTCCTTTCGACGGCGGGAGAAGTCTTCGCACTTCATTGGACAGCTACCGCCCGCCCAAGCTGGGCAGTCCCCGGCCAATAAGGTGCTGTCCCGTACACGTTCCGCTTGTCTCATTGGGTGCCTTGCGTGACAGGTCTCTAAAAGCTCCCACACGGGTGTTTCGTTTACGCTCCCGCGTTGGATTTACCCCCCACTGCCTTGTGGGTCAGACTTTTGAGTCAAAGGCTCCGGTTACGGTTCCCAAAGAAAAACCCCTTCGACGGTGTAAGCAGCCGCGAAGTATGCCGTGCTCTAAAGTCTTAGGCACCCATCTGGAAAACCATCCTTCCCTTCTGTCTAGTTCTTTTCAACCCAGATGCCTCCTGTTTACACCACCCATCGAATATCACTCAGCGTTTTACCATCAAGGCCAGAAATTCAGAAGCTATAGGATTTTTAAAGCCAAAATCCCCTTTTCATTTGGCTGCGTTTAACGTCTGCACGCTCTATCAGATTGGCCAACAAGCTGCCTTGGCTAGAACTCTCGAAACTTCCAATGTAGATGTATGTTGTGTCTCCGAAACACGCACACAAGACCCTACTTCCATTATCTCTCTGCGTTCTTCTGATCCAAACTCAACCTCACGCTTTACCCTTCGTGTGTCAGGCGATTCGGCATCCGAGGCTCGCGGTGTTGCTGGTGTCGGAATTGCACTAAGTGCCAAGGCTGAGCGCTCGCTTCTTGACTGGATTCCAGTCAGTAGCCGATTGTGCGCTGTACGTCTCAACGGTTCAGTTCGAGTCAACAGCTACAGAATGAAGCGTCGATGCTCATCCATCGTAACGGTGTATGCACCGACCGATTGCATTATACCGGAAATCAAGGATGAATTCTACTAGGATCTTTCTCAACTACTTCAAAGTGCTCAATCAACGGACGTCGTAGTAGTCGCCGGGGACTGCAATGCTCAAGTGGGATCCCTGGACGAATCAGAAAGGCTACTTGGTGGACCACACGCAATCCCAGCCAACCGAACGGACAACGGAGATCGCCTACTTCAACTCTGCACCGACCATGGATTGTTCCTGTCAAACACGAACTTCTCGCACAAGAAACGCAATCGACTTACATGGAAACCGCCAACCTCTTCACTGAGCTGGACCCAAATCGACCACATCGCCATCAGTTACCGCCGGAGGGGATCAAGACTGCCGCTCTTGCTGGTCAGCAGCTGTGGATACAGACCACGCCTTGTTACGAGCCATGTTCTCCTTACACCTAGCAAACAACCGCAGAAAACCACCGACAACGGATATCCACCATACAGTATCAGCGATTCATGCAAATCAGCCTTCGAAGTGGAGCTTTCCGATCGCCTGTCAGTTCAACCACCAACCGAAGGACTCAATGAACACTGGAAGCAAATCAAGGAAGCCATGCAGATATCGATCAAAACAACGTCGGACCCTGCCTCAAGCTCAAAACACAAACGATGAAGTTCGTCGACCTCGGTTGCCCTGCTGGACGCCCGCAGAACCCTTCCTCCGGATGCCACATACGACACAGCTCGTAAACCCCTTAAACGCCACCTCATCAAGAGTCTAAGGAATGACCGCGAGAAGTGGTGGGTAGCAAAGTGTAAAGAGATGGAGGAAGCTGCGGTTATTGGTAATAGTCGTAACCTTTTCCATCTAATTAGTGTTATATTCTAGTTATCTTTTTTATACACCCTTTTCTATTGCGTATTACATAAACCTCTCTTTCTATTACAGCTCATGTACCGGATTTATTAGTTGAGTAAAGCGTATAATTCCTACTCCGAGTCCTCACTGTTCCGCTCTCGTTTGCCTGATTCGTAAAACGTTACAATTAGGAATACGGGTCCTAGGAAAATAGGCGTAATTGAGGTAATTAAAGAATACAATGGCACACTGATTCACGATCAGCAACGCCATCTTGATCGTCGGGCTGAACACTTCAAGGCTCAGTTCAACTGACCCCCATCGACGGCTTATCTTTCACTCTCCACGTCGACTGGAAAAATACTCCCAGTTGATGCTAGTCCTCCATCTGAAATGGAGGTTTTGGTTTTGGATTAAACAAAAATCCTGGGTTTAATATGGGAAAATGAACAGGTTCCATCGGCATGGTGTGAGTCGGTGATCATACCGATTTACAACAAAGGTGATAGATCCCCTTGTGAAAATCAGTGAGGAATTAGTTTAATCAGTATCGAAGTCGAGTCCGGGCTTACGGCACTTTTCCGCCCGAGTTCACCAGGGAAAGTGATGTTCGTCAGGGTTGCCCTCTTTCTCCTTTTCTATTTAACTTTGTCATAGATTTAATTCTTGAAACAGCCCTATCCTCGTGCAGGGATAGCGGTATCGATTTACTTCCGGGTGGTAGACTGTCTGATC